TGTGTGTGTGTGTGTGTGTGATGAACTTTGAACCAACCTAAGCTTATCTTCCCACCTGTGCTTGTGTCAGAGCTAAGGAAAAACGAAAAAGCAAGCTGAATTTTTTTTGATATTTCATTGTTCTGACAGTATGAGGCATAGATTTTCCCACAGTGGTTCGGAACTGGTCTGTTTTGCGTCACTGCGCCATCTCGCTTTAACAGGAGAGGCATTTTGCTATAAATTCAGATCGGGCCACTAGGATTCCTGTACTAGTAAATAAAGTCAGGGAATTCTATTCGCCTCAAAAGAAATTTTTTTTTTTCAGAAGGCATCATCAAAGCCCAGTGCTTATCAGCATCGTTTGCCGTTGGAACCAAGTGCTCGGATGGCCACAACTGTGCAGCATCCTCCAATGACAACAGCATCATCTAGTGGCCATCATCACAGTTCTGCCGGCGGCAACAGTTCACATGCTGGCACGCAACTTCCTTCGCATCATGGAACTCATCCGAGGTATCTTTTTTGCCCTGAGGTGGAAGCAGCTTGATGTGTTGTTTGTTGCTGAATGTTTCGTTCCTCTTCGTTACCTGTATGTTTTAGCGCACTTGCTAACGATCCCTATACGCTCCTAACAAATGGTAGCTACCGTAGGTAGGAGTTGTGTTAGGTAATAGTCGAGAGAGAGAGAGAGAGAGAGAGAGTTTCCAGGAGCATCGGACGTCTGAACTGTGCTTGGGGTCAGTTTGTGATTTTTTAAAACGATAATCTGGGATAGCGTAGATACGCTCGACTGTTACACGCACGTGGACACGCATAGTTTAATTTTTGTGTGTTTTTGTAAAATTGTTGAAGCGAAAAATCACATTGTCGAGATGTCGTTTCTGTATGCGCGCTTCAGTTTCTAGATCTGCGAATTCTAAGAAGTTCAAATTTCGACAATTTATTCCATCATCCTTAGAAACGAAATGGTTGTTTACGTTTTCTCAGAACGTTTCAAAAATATTTTCATGCTTTCAGCAACCTAGCGAGCTGGAAAGCTGAAATTTCAAATTCATTTATCACGTTTGCTTAAGTCTCGCACGCAAATTTGTCAAAAACATTATTGGCTGTACGCCAGCACGGTAATTAGACTGAGCAAAAAACTCTACTTTCATTTGGGTGTTTGCTGGCGAAGCGCGATTTCACAAACTTGGAATGAGTCTTCGCGTACGTCTAAGTGTCGCGCACGAACACATCAAAGTTCCATTTACAGAATTGCTGCTATTTTCCTATCACAATTCTGAAATCCACGAAGCCCCATAATGCTACTTTTTAGAGTCAAGTAATGACTGACCCCTCTGAAAGTGGAAGTAAACACCAACAAGGACATTTCTAACTTGAGCGAACATAACAAACTGTTAAGCATTAAATGTTGTAGCCGGTTAAGATCTTACTGGCGCACAAAACCATGCAAAAACGCATAACTACGCCGGCCGCGTTGCTGCGCCCCTCTGATTATTGGGAATGTCGAAAACGAGCAACTGGACGGTACGGTGCTCTGCTGCATTGTGTTGCTTGAGGAGTGATATGAGACTGGTGATTGATTGTTGATCGATTTTTGTTATCACGGATGTTCAGTTCAAGCTCTCATCACAGTACCAGCGGCAGTGGATCTCACGCATCATCAGGTGGTCATCGATCCTCAAATTTAAATGCAACTCGTGTGCAGAGTAGGTCGCGAACCAGCGATGACCCTCATATTGGCAAATACAAATTGCTCAAAACAATTGGCAAAGGAAATTTTGCTAAGGTATATTGCTTCCTCTTTCCTTCATCCCAATGGTTTTACTAAAGAGTCCGAGTTTTTCAAATCTTCTGAAAAGGTGCGCTTTTAATTTTTCCGCAAATCTTCAGAAAAGGTGCAATTTTAATTTTTAATAAAAAGTTTTGTACATTATGATGATCAGTGAGCTGAAACGCTGCGTCCTGTTATTACTAGAGGTGTTCTTCTTTTCACTGACCTCGCTTATTGTATTTTCAGTAAAAAATTGCAAATTTCGTTCTTTTTTTGTAATATTTATAATGACAATTTTAAAGGTGAAACTTGCGAAACACATTCCTACGGGTATTGAAGTGGCGATTAAGATTATTGATAAAACTGCACTAAATCCAAGCAGCCTTCATAAGGTTTGTTGTTTCTTCGTGGATCTTTTGTTCAGAGATGGATAATTATTATTAGTGGACATATATCTGAGGCGTGCTTGCTTCTTGTTTAAAAAATAATAAAATTGCGACTGTAGTGTAAAATTCGAAGAGACCGAGCGATCATCTTCGTCGATCGCATCACATCGAACAGCGGAGTTGCTCTTGAAAGAATATTTCAACTTGATTGACATAAAATTTAGTTATTTTCATCTGTTTCTAGTCATTTTCATTTTCTTGTTAGTCTAGTCGTTTTCATCCTGTCATCATTTAATATGACATTTCTGAATTTTTCAGTTATTCCGAGAAGTAAAGATAATGAAGCAGCTGGATCATCCAAATATCGGTGAGTTGAAATCGCATTTTTTCACCCCCACTAACGTTTTCTTTTGGTGTTTTAAGGTCTGCAAATAGTTAAAAGATGAAATCCTTCGCATTTTACTTGGAGAGTAAGATGCAGAAGAAGGTTTTGACTTTTCGATATTTGAACATTCGGAAGTAGCCCGAGCTGTTGGTGTACACTGTTAACAGCACTGACAATCTCGTACCAAGCATTGCTTAAAAGTAAGCTAGTGGCTTCTCTGATTCCCATGTATAACTCACCATCAGAGTGAGTGATGAGATCATAGAGACTGTGGTATTTCCATTTTTAAAATGGAATCGCCGTCGACTTTTGAGTTCCTCTTTGCGCTGCTTCGCCACTCCTCCCAATTTAAGTAGTATACGGGGAAGTTCGCTTGTGCAGCCCTAAAAAGTGCAGCACTTTCATGGATATACAAACCTCAAAAGTTACGCCAAAAAAAAAAATTTTAAATACTTAAAAAAAAAGTCTTTGGTAATGTCCACAGCCTTGAAAATCAACAGTCAGCTTGACCATCGTCACGTTCCTTCTGGCAATTGATATTACAGGTGGCGCTCCTTTCATTTCTGAGTGTGGGCCCTCCTTATTCGGAAATTTTAGTACACACGTTCAGCTAGATACTTTCATTCCTCCTGCAGCCTTCTCTGTGGTACGGTTCAGTAATCCGACTTGCCCTTCTGTTGTCCGCCGTTTTTTTCACATAACCATTTCAGTTGTTCATCTTAGCATGTACTGCTTCCGCAGTATTGTTCATGCTAATTCAGAGTCGCCGGCTTATCAAAAGTAGTGTAACTCTATAGAAAAAATAGTAGTGCTGCTCCCGAACTTCCAATTTATTAAAGGAGGAAATAACTGGTGAACCAGTGAAAGTGAAAAGAAATTCTGGATTTTCCGGAACTTCCGGATCGCGTTTGAACTTTTATATATTCAGTTTTATTCCTCTTCACATTTATCGTTCTTTTTACCTTATGGCCATTTTATTTTTTTTTTTTTAGTGAAATTGTACCAAGTGATGGAAACTGAAAACACATTATACCTGGTCATGGAATATGCAAGTGGTGGTGAGGTAAGCTTTTTTTTTTATTCTTCATCCATTTTCCATTGAACTTTTATCCCAGGAATTTCGCGAATTCATTTATTCAAGCGGTAAACAGCAATTTTCCTCCTTCCGAGAATTGAGTTCTCATTTCTGCTTTGTCGTATGATGACGCGCCCTTTCTCGTCAGTTAACTGTAAAAAAAGCGCGCCTCGCTTCGGCATCTTCCGTTTAGTATTATAATCAGTTTCTTAGCAACAGTATTAACTTGATATTGTAAATTACCTTCGTTTCGCTTCCGTACTAAATTATCGGGATATTTATCGTCAGAGTGCTGGGCGTATAGCTTTCAAAAATAATTTCATTCGAAATGAATTCCGATTTTAATACAGGTTTTCGATTACTTGGTGGCCCACGGCAGGATGAAAGAGAAAGAAGCACGTGCGAAATTCCGTCAGATTGTTTCAGCAGTGCAGTATCTCCATCAGAAGAGTATCATTCACAGGGATTTGAAGGTGCGAATTTTTTGATTCCACAATACTGCTTTGTTGCCACAAGTCTAGTTTTTTTGGATATCAGTAGTTTTATTTGAATTCTAGAAGTAGAGTATTCACTGAAAAAGCCAAGTTAAAGCATACATTCGCATTCCTCATTGTCATGAAATATGCGCAAACAGTTTTTCAGGCGGAAAATTTGTTGCTCGATTCCGATATGAATATCAAAATAGCCGATTTTGGCTTTAGCAATCAGTTTGTCATAGGTACGGGTTTTTTTTTGCTCTTACAGTGTACAGAAAAAAAAAAGAAGTTTGAGGCATAAGTTTTACGCTTTAACTAGACGTTTATGACAGTTACCCACAAAAAACCGGCTTTTCTCAGAAGCCCTAAACTATTTTTTGATTTTTTTTTTTGGGACAGAAGTGGGGATACAGTGAATTACCTGTGTGGTACTTCCCGACAAATACAATTTTGGCTTCAGTGGAATGTGGAATATGGTGCAGCGCAAGCTGGGTGCACTTGATTAATTTTCATATTTCGCATTATCTTCAGCAAAAAACGATGTGAAAAAA